GTGTTAAATTAGTAAATTGGTTTTGAAAGAACTGACATTTTAGTGCAAAATAGGAAGGCTTTGTCTGCAGACCCAGCACTCAGGAGGAAGGAGGATTGTCATGAGTTCCTAGACTACCAAGTATGACCGTGCTTCAAAAACCTTAAAGAGAAAGAATTGGCCTTTTAATGACATAAATTCTGGATCATGATCCTCCTCTCATATAAGTCTCTCTCAATCTCTTTTTTTTTTGGGGGGGGGGCACTATTTTCATTTTTCAGGTTTATGTCTCATCACATTTATCCCCTAGTATTTCATTACTTTTGCTGGTAATATAAGTAGTATTTTACATTTCAATTTCCAGTGATCTTTTCATGTGTGATGTATTACGCTGAGCTTACATCCCCTTTAAGAATACAGGAATGGTATTTTGTCCTAGGGGGCAGAATTATTATGATCTTAAGCAGTTTTTTTTTTCCCCCATCTGTTTTCTTATTTAAATGTGTCTATTTGGATTTTGGATCCTCTGTCTTGAACTCTTTTTTTTGGGAAGAGGGTATGGTATGTATGCCTTTGTAAGTGTGGAAATCAGAGGACAATCTCCAGGAGTTGCTCTCTGCCCAGCCCCGAAGAGGATCTATTTCAGGTGCTTAGCCTTGTTGGCAAATGCTTTAACACACCGAGCTTTGTCACTGGCCCTGGATTGAATACATTGCTGTCTACACTGGGGTTAAGTAGTTTCAGTCTTGTGTAGATATACTGGTAGACTGCAATCACTTTACTTTCTTTTCATGAGGGATTTTCAGACCATAGAAATTAGAGTAAATTACAACCTTAGACAAATCAGGATAAGCCTATACTTATTTTATAAAAACACATTTTAAAAACAACAGAAGACATTCTGTGGGTAGTTTAATGGTTAAGACTACTGGCTGCTCTTCCAGAGGAACCAGGTTCAATTCCCAGCACCCAATCATCTCTGACTACAGTTACAGGGGTTCCAGTGCCCTTTTCCAAGGGCTGAGGATTAAAGGCATGTGCCACCACCAGCTGGCATGTTTGTTTGTTACCAGTAGACTGTCTTAATGGAAGAAAAGGTACTTAGAGAACAGCTCTTCCTAAGACAACAGCTTCCCAGAAAGTGTGGTATAAATTATGATACTGGGCTAAAAAGATGGCTCAGCTGAACACCTGCTATGCTTGGAAAAGACCCAAGTTCAGGTCACAACCACCTGTAATTCCAGATCCAGGGGATCTGACATCTTCTGGCCTCCATGGGTACCTTCCCTCACCTCACATTTAATAACTAAAATTAAAAAAAAAAACAAACTTTAGATTATAAATATGTCAAATACTCATACAATATGTTGACATAGCCAGATTCCTCAGACTATGTGTGTCCAAGGACTTATTCTCCCACACGTTTTATCTTTTCTGTAGATAGTAGATCCATGGGAAAAACTTTCATAGACAGGTGTACATGAGCTCTGTAAGAAAGCTAGTGGAGCAAGCCAGTGAGGAGTGATCCTCCATGGCCTCTGCATCAGTTCTGGCCTTGAGTTTCTACCTTCACTTCTCTCAGTGATGGGCTGTTACCTGAAGTGTAAAATGAAGTAAATCCTTCCACTCCAGGTTGCTTTTATTTTTTAATTTGCTTATTAATTATGTATACAGTATTCTGCCTACATGCCAGAAGAGGTCACCAGACCTCATAATAAATGGTTATGAGCCACCATGTGGTTGCTGGAATTTGAACTCGGGACCTCTGGAAGAGGTCAAGAAGCACGTTTAACCTCTGAGCCATCTCTTGAGCCCCCCCCAAGTTGCTTTTAGTTATGGTGTTTATCAGAGCAACAGAAAGCAAACTAAACAAAGTATGTGCCACCATGCCAGGCAAAGTGCTATTTGTAATCATTAATCCCCTGAAACTTCAAAATAATATTTTCTGAAAGTAGAGTTAGCTATCTTGAGTTGGCATGTATTATTTGCTAAATGAACTGGCTTTATAGTAGGCAAGCATATATGAAAACTTTGGGAGTCTTTGTTTGGGGGGTAATTTTTTGGTTTTCTTTGTTGTTGGATCAAATTTTATTTTGGGAGGATTGTTTTGTTTTGGTATTATTATTTGCTTAAGACAGGGTCTCCCTGTGTAGCCCTGGCTGTCCAGAAACTCATGCTGGCCTTAAACTCAGATCTGCTAAAGCTGGGTTGAAAGGCTGTGTGGACACTTTTATTATTGTTACCCGCGGGGGTGGGGGGGGGGTACATACATACACCAGTGTGCTTATGCCCTGGCACACGTGGAGATTGCAGAACAGTTTTCCAGTAGTTGAAAACTGTTCCACCATCGTGTCCAGGGACTGAAGTCCATTTATCAGGCTTGTGCTGCTAGCACTGAGCCTTCTCACTGGCCCTCATGTAGAGTCTCCATGGATATCGCTGCATGAAGGTAGGCTGGATGAATTTATTAGAGATTGAATATTTAGTCTAGCTGGTGTTAACATCATAAACTAGATACTATAGTAAGGCGTTCATACACTTAGAACTATGGCAAAAATAAATAAATAAATAACCTTAACTAAGTTAGCCCCAAAGAACCCTTCTGATCTGACTGCAAATCCTCCTGAACATAATCTCTACTCCACTCAAGCCAGGCGTAGGCCATGCTGTCAGTGTATCATGGTTATCACAGCCCCAAAATCTGTATCTTTCGGGTTGGCTCTTGGTTTGGGCTTTATTTTAAGTAGTTCTCTATTATGTAAGTTCCCTTGCTACTCTGGAACTCACTTCACAAACAAGTGAGTTTGAGGTCAGCCTCAAACTCACAGAGATTTGTTGACATACTTTTTTTAAAAAACATATATTTTTTTAAATCTCTTTCTCCGTACTTCACCAGCACCAAGTAGGAAAGAGAAAGGTTTAGGAAGAGAGGGGGCATAATTCTCTTAGCTACTTTTACTGGTTAGGGTCATCAGGTCCTTGGAGCCGCTCCAAATCTTGTTTCATGAGATCTCCAACTCCTTGTCTCACTACATCAGCAGCAACAACAGCAGCCTTGTTCTTTCTCAGAGCCACTCCACACTCTCTGGTCTCCAGCATTTATTCTCCAGAGTCCTCAGATTTAAACAATCTGTAGCTGGCAAAGAGCTCCTCAGAGCCCGTATGAGGCAAATAGTTTGCCGCTGTGAACTATCTGAATCAGTCCCACATCCCACACCTGAGATTAAAACAAAAACATAGTTATATCCACAACAGAGATCCATCTATGCCGTCATTCTCACACACACAAACCATAACATCGTACCCTACTTTCAGTGCTGGGGTTAAAGCATGAGCCACCATGCCCAATTCAAAATCCTTTATCTTGATCCTTCCTCTGCTGTAGAGGAATTTTAATTCAGAACATGGCTGCTCTGGCAAATAATCACACGCAAAGATCTACTAGGTCTGTGTGGTCCAACTAGAATACAAACCCGTCTTTAATGTAAGAGACACAGGCAAGCAGATATGAGTTCAAGGCCAGCCTTTTTATAGAGCAAATTTCAGGTTTAAAAAGAAAAGAAAAAAGCTTCGGTGCAGGCATGCTGGGTCATGCCTTTAATCCCAAACAATGAAAGTAAAGTTAGTTTGCAGAAGGAAGCACCTGTGTTTGAAAGTGGTATTTCAGTGGCAGAAAAAAGTGAAATCAGAGCCTTCTCTGACAGAATAGGATATGCCTAACTTTCACGAGGAGAGAGAGGAAAGGGAAGCCACTTACGCAGTTTTACTGGGAGAGTTTGACAGAGAGGAAAGACCCAGGTGAAGACAGAAGGAGCCAGAGAATGAGAAGGAGCCAGAAGATTAGGATTGCTGGAGATAGTTTTGGGAGCAATTCAGAGGTCGAGAGAGAAGCCAGATTGAATAAGTCAGCTAGGAGAAGAGCTTGAGCCAGTACAGCTGAATTGAATCAGCTAGCACAGAGCTCAGAAAAAACAAGAGTGAGCTTATTAAGCAGTAAGTTTCAGAGGCTGAAAACAGCCTAGGCCTAGGTTAGATTGTACAGACGCTAGAAGCTTCCAGGACTAGGCCTGGGTTAGCAGAAGGAGGCAATAATTGAATTATTAAATTATTTTATTAAAGGTCCTTTTACACACTGCCTGTTCCAACACAGATATTCAAGATTCATTCTTTGTGTCTTCGGGGTCTTACCTCATGTGTATGACACTTTCTGGGAAAACATGGACAAATCAACACACCTTGTGAGCTTAGCCACTCGGCTGTCAGAAGGATTAAGGCCAACTTTAGAAGCAAACTTTGTCTCAAATTAAGAAAGAGGGCTACAAAGGTGGGTCAGTGGTTGATGCTTTTCCAGAGGATACAGATTCAGTTTCCATCACCCACATGGCAGCTCACAACTGTCTATAATTCCAGTTCCAGGAGGTCTGATAACTGTTTCTGGCCTTTATGGGCACCAGACATACAAGGACATACATGCAGGCAGAACACCCATACACATTTATTAAAAATATTTTTAAAGAAACTTAGAATTTTAGAAATGAAAGACAAATTAAGAAATCATCTGTTTATATCTCATTTTTTAAAAGAGAGGATGTGATGTAATTTTTTAGGAGGGAGGGACATTCCTAGTTAAATACACAATTCATTACATCTTACTAGCTGACGTCTTATGGGTCTTATGGTAGAGGAATGCATTTTGCCACAAGTGTTCAGTACTTCACTATAAAATAATGTTTTCTGCTAAGCCTGCACTATAGTCACAGCAACTTGGAAGGCTGAAGTGGTAGTCACCTGAGTTTGAGGCCAGCCTGAGCCGTAACAGAAAGGTTCTGTTCCAACAGAAAAAATTACCAGTTCTCAGTACTAGATTTTCACTTGTCAAATCTCACTTAGCAGAAATTGTGTTAAGGGCTTCTAAAGGGGCTGTATGTGAGTACTGTGTCTTGTCACTAGTTTGTAGGTGTCACTTGTAAAGGGGATGTATGTGAGCACTGTGTCATATGTCACTGGTTTCTTCTATGAAGACAGAACTTTCTTCACAATCCAAAAGAAAAAGATTTGTTCGGGATGTTTGACGGCTATGACAGCTGCAGTGAGGACACAAGTAGCAGCTCCAGCTCTGAGGAGAGTGAAGAAGAAGTTGCTCCTTTACCTTCCAACCTCCCAATTATCAAAAATAATGGACAAGTCTACACATACCCAGATGGTAAATCTGGCATGGGTGAGTATCTATGCTCTGACCTGTTGCATGAGTTTGTGTTTGAGCGTGTGTTTCCATTTGACTTTTTTGTTAGGTTGGTTTGATTTTATTTTGAGATCATGTCTTGCTGTTATAGCTTAGACTGGTCTAAAACTCATAATCATCCTGCCTTTGCCTCTAAAGTGCTAGGATTATAAACAGTGGTACTATCCCTGGCCTCTCCTATAGAAGGACTATTTGAAGAGGCTGAGATTGAGATTTAGGAGTTCTAGATAGGGTCTCAGAGTTTTGTGTTTCATTTCTTTATCTTTGCCATTCTGTCTACTAGTGGGAAGCAAGTAGAGCAAAATCAAAAGCAATCTATTAGTATGCAATAAATTCAGTTAATGACTATCTGTATAGAGCTGAAAGTGGGAAGGATTATACAGTTACACAGATAACCTTTCTCTCTGACAATAAGATTTGTGCTGGAGGTCGGGTGCTGCCTTATGTTTTGGTGTTTTGAGAGTGGATTGGTTGGTTTTCAGAAGAGGTTGCAGGCTGACCTGGCACCCCTGTTTCAGCTTGCTCCACTATGCCTTCTTCTAGTAAGGAGGTGCTATCTGTCTCATAAAAAAAGTGGTCTCATTTTTAGTGGTTCTCAGCACTAGAAAATGCTTTATGTTGAACCAAAATTTACTTGTGTGACTTTTCATTTGTTTGGAATGTTATTTTTAAGCCTAAACAAGGGGCCAAGAGGTAATGCTTCCCCAGCATGCACAAGGCCCTGCATTCCATCATAGGGACCACAAATTAAAAAAAGAGGGTGTGTGTTGAGAATCAACCTTCTGAAGAACGTGATTTTGTTATCAAGCTACCATAATTTTCTTTTTTCTTTTTTTTTTTTTTTTTGAGGTCACTTTGTAGACCAGGCTGGCCTCAAATGCACAGAGATCCTCCTGCCTCTGCTTCCCCAAGTGCTGGGATTACAGATGTGTGCCACCATGCCCAACTCAGAATAATTCTAATGACATCTTTTATAACATCTTTTTATATTGACATCTCTTCACACTAGACACACTGTGTCTCTGAGGCACATTAAATAACTACACTCATTTCCTCCATTACTTTTAGTATCAAAGTAATTCTACTTTTTTCTGTTAATGTTCAGATTATTTACTAATAGGGACCGATTTGCCTAGTGCTGTTACCATTCCCACTGAAAGCACCCCATCTTCAAAACACTTCTAGCAAATCACTAGTTACACTGTGATCTGGACAAAATCTAGTTCTACCATGCTGTCTTCAGGACAGTGCAGTTTAGTCATTGGCTTTTTTTTTTTTTTTTTTTAAATAATACTGAATTTCAAATAATAAGT